GTAATAATGACTTGAGAGTAGGCAAGCTCAAATTTTGCTCTGTAATAAGTGTCACATAACTTTGACGAATTCTTCAGCGTGTAACCAAGTAGTTTACGTTTATGTTGTGCTCAGTTGCATATTTGAGTTAGGACCTTACTTCATGAAAGTTTGCGCCCATGTTATTGGTTTACATGAGGCATGACATAACACGAGCAAACACTACAACGAGAGCAAGATTCCTCTTTGCTAGTTAAGACCTGTGATTTTAAAGCGGGGAAGTTTCTAATTTTACTATTCACGCAGCTTGGGTTCTACACGTCGGGTTCATTTTCCCTTCCGGTCGTTTCCGTGTGTTTTGCCTTTATTTGTGAAATAACCCGTTTGTGCAGTTCTTCCCTTGACAGTGGAACTTTCAGTTCGCCCTCACCGGTGGCTAAAAAAAAAGCCTAACAGATAGATTTATGGCAAGAAGTAGTGAACCGAAATCGCAAGCATGCTGTGTTTACGGACGAAAGCGACCATGTTAAGCATGATTGACTGACGTGACTTTAATTATCGTTGGTGCTACACTATTAGCGAAAGCTCGAAAAGAAGTTGTCTCGGCTGCAGCGTGACGAACAGGAAAAAAAGCAATTATAAAGGGTACAATTTGAAATAGGAATTTGGACAAATTTGTCGCAAACTCACGCTCATCAAAGTCTGCTTGTAGGCTGGGTGGAATGATGGTGGGAAATGAAGAACTTAATGGGAGCAAATTACCACCCATCAAGATTGGCTTTGCAATGTAAGGTGCGTCAGGATCGATGCTAGCAATGTACTGCCGAACTAGGAGCAGATTATCAATGCGCTCCTCAATCAATGCCAAGTAGTCAAGAACCGTTTCAAGGGTCGGATCCTTGGAGGCCGCCAGTCGTCTTTCGAGGACGCTCCTAAAACATGCATCGAAGACAACATATTGGATTACCAGCCACCTACTCAGGACTTGGTGTGTTGCTAGTTACTTCACTGCTCACGTTGCCTCACTTTCTTGGCTCAATTGAATCACTAGTTCAAATGTCAATGCATGTTATTATAAGGCATCCAATAACGCCTATCCTCTGTTTGAATTGATGATGCAACAGTTGAGCTGTACTGGGACTACTTTGTTTCAAGCTAATAGTCTTGAATTCCTCAATTTCCTATCATCAACATTGTCGATGCCCTGCAACAGTTTCTTTTGATGTCAACCATGGTGTGCAATGAAATGGTTTCAGCCAACAGGCGTAAAACCCAAGATATCGCCACCTAATCTGCGTGCAAGCTTTGATACAGCATAAGTCAATAATTTTCTTTTGGTAACGCATGCCATCGTCGCCACGAAAGCTTATACAATTTTAAAAAATATTATGTGCAAGTAACTTGTGAAAACCCTCTTCGCGCCCTGAACACTGTTAGATAAGTAATCTGAAATGCCTAGAGTAGTGTAAAAGAAAATTCCAATCAAATATCGTGTACGTATCACAGTTGAGTTTTTTCGCCAAGTCGCCTGTCATTACTGCAGTTTCTTGCAGAATCTGTCTCGTTTTTTCCAACTTTGCACGAATCTTCTCTGTTGCCTCCTCAATTCTGTTACTAGTTAACTCAAGAGTTTCTAATTCTTGACGTTTCTCTGCAATTGAGTTGTTCATGGAATTCTTGTAGTCGTCAATTTGCTTCTTGAGCTAGATTAATTGGACAGGTTGATCCATATGAGAGGATTTTGGGAAAGAATTTGCCCCAAATCTAAAGACCTATACTCAGGAGAAGCAAACTTTAAGAAGTGTTTGTTTAAATAACTGCATCCCTCTGCGTAGTGTGAAGGATTTCCATAGTTATTTAATGGTTTTTACTTAAGCGAAGTTCGAGTAAATAGAGTAAGCAATTAAATCGTTGAAATTTCAATGCTTATGCGTAGGTGATAATAAGTAAGTACGATTTGTTTAGAAACAAGCCTCGTCCGTTATGCTCTAAGTTGTGGAGATCCCGTATAACCAGCGATTTACCTCCTCGTTCTCATTAAGAAGCTTTTCGATTTCGCCATTAATTTCGCTGACGTAATTAAATAACGCAAAGTTCCTATCTTCGTTAAAGAGGAAGCTGTCCACTAGTTTATCAGTAGTGGAAGTTTTAGCGAGGACGAGCATTCGGTCGAAGGACTCCTCATATCGTCGAATAGTCTGTTCAACTCGCTCTCGCTTCTCCTCTGCTTCCGCTTCCTTCTTGGCCTATTAACGATATTATGCCATCGTCAATACGATGTATATGTCTAAAAGCTATTTATTTTCCTAACCTCAGTCAACTCTGCTTTCGTAATGATGATACATTGACAGGCCTGGTTGTACTGCCAGGGATGAATTTGTGAAA